AAAACTTGGGGGTGATCTATCGATTGGACCCACCCATATTGCCCCCTGACCCTTCCTTGACCGATTTCCTGGGGGGGGGGTAAATTTTTTGATTTGCAGGTTCTTAAAAAATGGTCTGGGGAGGGTCAGGGGGCAATATGGGTGGGTCCAATCGATGGATCTCGTCAAAGTACTCTGACAAAACCCCCCCTATTTGGGGGGGTAAAACCCATCCCTAAGCCCGAAAATCGCATTTGAAAATATACCATGAATCTTTGAATCATTGAAAAGCGTTTTTTGGCCTTGGAGGTGGGTTTTACCCCCCTAATGGGGGGGTATTGTTAGGGTACTTTGACGAGATCTATCGATTAAACCCACCCATTTTGCCTTCTGACCCTCCACTGACCCTCTTTCGGGGACCTGCAAATCGAAAATATTATCTCCCTCAGTAAATTGGTCAGGGAAGGGTCGGCGGGCAACATTGGTGGGTCTAATCGATAAATATTGCCAAAGTAGTCTAACAAATACCCCCCATTTGGGGGGGTCAAACCCATCCCCAAGCTCAAAAAATGGATTTCAATGATTCAACGGTTCACGGTAAATTTTAAAATGCGATTTTCGGGCTTGGGAGTGGGTTTTACCCCCCCCCCCATATGGGGGGTATTTGTTAGACTACTTCGACAATATTTATCGATTGGGACTATCCGTTTACCCAAAAAATGCCATCTGGTGTTTGCTCCAGTACAAAATATTGTAAAAATAATCGATTTTTGCACTTTTTCAACCATAATTCGCAGGTTATTCATTTTTTTGGATACTGTCTTCGGCAAAATTGTGGCCGTTGTAAAAACAAACAACTCTTCTGAACACTTAACCCAACAAAATCACATCCAATGTGTTTTGAGTTAAGATTTTTGAAAGTGAAATTTCGAGTCAAATAAGTGGTCAGAACATGCTTATTTTGGATTTATATGTTCAGAAAGGTTGTCTATTTTTACACTGGCTACTTTTTTGTCGAAGACCGTGTCCAAAAATATTGAATAAATTTCGAATTTTAGTCATAAATATGGAAAAAAGTGAGAAAATCGATAGATCTCGTCAAAGTACCCTAACAAACACCCTTCCAACAGGGCGTAAAACCCATTCCTAAGCTTGAAAATTGGATTTTTATGATTCTTCCCATTGAATTAATGGTATGTTTTCAAATGCGATTTTTGGGCTTGGGAGTGGGTTTTACCCCCCCAAATGGGGGGGGGGGTATTGTCAGAGTACTTTGACGAGATCTATCGATTGGACCCACCCATATTGCCCCCTGACCCACCCCAGACCATTTTTTGGAGTAATGTATATGTAAGGGAAGCATCATCGATAATAGCCCTGTGGGGGGGTCAGGAAATGGGTCAGTTGACCTCGGGGGAAGCTCCAATCGATAGATCTCGTCAAAATACATTGAGATACAAACTGGTCCGGGGGGGTTTAGCCACTCCCTAGCCCGCGAATCGGGTTTATATTTTTCCCCGGGGGGAAAAAAAATTTTCCCCCCGGCAAAATCGATTTCCCCCCCCCCCCCTCGCGCATGTATGATATATACGATATCGTCATTGCACGTGAATTGAATTATACCGTTACTGTGTTGCTCACTGGCGTGATCCTACTTGACAAGTATATAAGAAGATGCATTCGATCGGTATGTCCATCAAACAGTTCGTCAATTCCCTTCAATTGATACGTTTACATTGTGTTGAATACTAGACAGAAAAATCTCTACGAGGTCGAATATCGCTCCTCTCAGTAGTGTGTAATCAACATGTAAATGGTGTTGTTCATATTAATTGTGCATATCTGTTGAAGCTTCAACAGGTCTGGATTTTTTTCACTCTTTGCCAATAAATTGTTTATATATTTTCCCCTTTTCTAAAAACAACAACATTGAGAAAAGTTCAAGTAAAACAAGAATCCAATTCAGACGTGTTCAGAAGGGGGAGGGGGGTTTCCGGTTTTACCCCCATCTAGGATTTGAAAATCGGAGACCCCCATCGAGCGATTTTGACTATTTTACACTAGATAGAATCGATGTTCAAAACTGAGGACCTTTTTTTTAGGTCTTCAGTTTTTTTCGACATCTATTTATAAATTTTCAGACCCCCATCTGGCAAAAAAAAAATTACCCCCATCTACAATTTTAGACCTTGCATCCGTCTGATCCAATTCCACGTGTCTCACTTCCCGATACAGTGGAACCTCGATTATCCGTCAGGCACCGGACCAGCACCTTGACGGATAATCGAGGTTTTCATAAAATAAGCCCAACCAATCAAAACTTCCATATTATTATTAGTTTATGATGGAAAATCGGGTGATGTAGAAAATATATGACACCCATAGAACAAAAAACAACTTATAAGTTCTCTTTCTATAGATAAGATGGAAAAAAAACTTAGATTAAAAAAGAGACAAATGAAGATGCGAGCAAACGTGATACAACTCAGCATTGAGTGGAAAAGACGTTTTTTTGCATTTTTCTGCCTGCTGGAAAAAGATAGCGACTAGGTTTGTAGTTCTTTTGATGTTCTACAATAATGCTGAAGACACCTAATCGTTATCTATTTCCAGTAACGAGAAAAATGCAAAAAACGTCTTTTCCACTCAATGCTGAGTTGTGTCACTTTAGCTCGCAACTTTATTTGTCTCTTATTTGCTCTAAGATTTTTCCGTCTCAGCTATGGATAAAGAGCTCATAAGTTGTTCTCTTTTTCTATGGGTGTCATATGTTAGATACGAAAATAGATTTGCTGCATTGTCCAATACGAGAAATGTTTTCGGTAGCAACGCCTTCGATTTCAAATCTTATTGTACGAATGTACAAGCGAAACACAATTGATTTTGATTATGAATGTCAGTCGGCGACATTATTTGTATGTTCAATAAAAATGAACTGAAAAAAATTCACTTCCGCAAAGGGTGACGGTTAACAGAGGTGACGGATAATCGGAGGACGGATAATCGAGGTTCCACTGTAATAACATTTATTTATGTACATAACAAAAAGTAAAAGCATCAAGATTCATGAAGCATCTGAGGTTGAGTCTGGCATTACGATAATAGTCCAGATCGGTATGATGCAGCTGCAGCTTTATTCTCTGAATTCAGTTTTATGGTTTTACATATAATGTGCGTCTGTAAATTTGAGATGCCTATAACAACTCTAGGACGATCAAGTTGACACATTCATTGGAATTTGAAAATAGTTGAGAAGCTGCCCATATCTCCATGGAAAGTGCTATTAAGAACAGCTATGTACTTTATGTCCAAGGTTGCGCTACAGAATTTCTCAGCAGCAAGCCCATTTGATATTCTTCCTAATATACGAGCATATTGCTTGTCTTACAGCGACAGAGTTCACACAAAACTGCCACACACTTCTCTTCGATTTGGTTTTGTGTATAAGTTGGTTACGATGATTGTGTATGCAACAGTCGTGTGCGCGAAAGAAGTATGTGCGGCAATTCTATGTGTTCTCCTTCGCTGTAAGACAAACGATATTAGGCAGAGTATTAAATTTTGTAGCGCACCCTTGGTTATGTTACGTTTAATCAGTCATATTCATATTTACAATATACACCACAGGCCATAAGTTTGGACACCCCTATGAAACGTTTGTTTCTACGCTTTTTGAACATTTTCACTTGAAATTTAGTATTGGATATGAAAATATATCGAAATTCTGACCGAATGGATGATTTGGAAGATAACATTTGGCCGGCCTATGGCCATCTTTTGGCCTTTGAGCTGTGGGAGCCAAAATCGAAGTCTTAAACGGGCCATCGGATTAAAAAGTTAAATACGCCATTAGAAAGGTCTTGAAAAGTAGATGTGATTTTTGGTATTAAACATCAAAATCGGCCGGCATTCGGCCAAGATATGGCCGTTTGTAATTTTTGGCCGAAATCTTCAATCAGCCATATCTTGGCCAAAAGCTCGCCGATTTTGATGTTTAATACCAAAAATGATACGTACTCTCTGAGACCTTTCCAACGACGTATAGCATGTTGAAATTGGACAAGAGGTTTGAAATTTAAAAATTTTGGGCCAAATTCATTCATAGGGGTATCCAAACTTATGGCCTGTGGTGTATGTAAATGACGATCTAACTAGTTATTGTTTAGCATTGAAACGACTTTAAAAGGGAATGTGTTCTGTGCATACAACGAAGATGTTAACATTTCCATGTTAAAATAGCCTCGCCGATTGAACACCATACGACTTTTTAAGAGTGTGAAATATTTGCTTAAATTTGCAATTCAATGTGGTCGAATTGCGGTATTTTCCAACCATTTTGAAGAAATGAATGTGAACATCTCTATTTTCAATACAAACCATTTGATGTGGAACGTATAATTACGCACAATTCCACCAATTGACGTCAATTGTTCTAGGAAAAAATTCTTAAAAAATGTATGCGACAATATTTCGTGCATTTTAATTAGAATCGTCATTGCACGTGGATTAAATTATACCGATAATGTGTTCCTTACTGACGTGATTATACTTGAAAAGTATATTAAAAGATGCGTTCGATTTGTAAGTCATCAAATAGTTCTTATCAATTGATACGTTTACAATAAACTTTTGATAGTTCGAAGCTGGAAAAATGCTGAATCGAAGATGTTTCACGCTGCTGCTCATTGGCTTGGTGGTATCCGAGGTGAATGGACAATTTCAGTCACATTTTTTGTCATCCCAAGAATTATCGTCGATTTATTTGTAATTTTAATGTTGCTTGGAATTTTTTCACTTGTAAATTTTGCACCGAATTTGGAACAACATCGAAATAGTTTTTTTTTTACGATTTGACGATTAAATTTTCAATAAAAAAAAGTTTTCTCAATCGAATGAAAGACAGTTGAAAACCATTAGAATCTCATCCGTTGTTCCCATTCCAATTAAATCACTTTGTTTCATTTACACAGTTCTTAATCGTGGATGTGAGTGGAGGGAAAGTAAAAGACCAAGCCAAAGAAATGGACATTCGCGCAAAGAAAAACGGGTTTAAGACTGTACCTCTACCTCCTAGCAAGCCAGATGAGTCATACAAATATGCCAAACCTGTTGTGGTGAATTCGGTTTTTCAAATCGTCAAAGAAGGAGCAAAAGTTTCAAAGTCTGAATCGGATCTTAATGATGCAAAGCCTGTTTCAGTTAAAGACCGAATTGGAAAAATCAATGGTTTTGCAATGAATAACGGCGGAGCAGCTCCGAGCAAATCCCCTTCCGTGAAAGCAGAAGTAAGTAATTTCGATAAACTGAGGACATTTTTTTTGATGACATACATTTTGTTTCGAATTGAATAGACCGAACTCAACTCAAAGTCTAAGGTAGGGACAACGCCAACTGATAATTTATCGAATGGAAATATTCTAAAACAACCTCAAACTGCAACATCACCACCGACGCCTGAAATTCCGGTAGTAAGTAAATCCGGTAAATTTTGCCAATTCAATTTCATTGCTACACATTTTGTTTCGAATTGAATAGAACAAACCGGTGGTAAAACAAGAAAGTTCAGCAAAACCGACTGCAGCACAAGCGGCTCCAGCAAAACCGACTCCAGCCCAACCGACTCCAGCGAGACCGATTCCAGCACAATTAACTCCACCGAGGCCGCAAAATATGCAGGTAATACGATTCGTTGTTACATGATGTAAATTTGCATTTGCACTTGGTCTTAAGGCAATTTTATAGTCAACCGCTAATTTTGTGTAAGAGATGCAAATTTCATTTGCGATCATACATCGATCCGTTCGGGCCATTTTGACCTTTACTTCAAAAAATTCACTCTTAAAACAGTAGATATATTTGAATGATAATATATATTGAATAACTAACATTTTCCCTAATGCAATATCAACAGCCAAAGCAAACTACTGGAAGAAGTCCAAGAGTCCAAGGAACTGCAGCGGGGCCAACAGCAGTACCGGTAATTCGATAAAATAATACGCATTGTAGTGGAAATGCTCACTTAGTTTTGAATTTCCAATCATGTTTTTAATTATTTTCAATTTTGAACATTGGTGGTTGAAAATGAATATTTGTTCTCGATTAGGTGTACTTTATGCAAAGTACCTACGGAACAGGACCAACTTACATGCCAACAATACCGATGGAAAGAAACCCGGGATGTTTTGCTGTTAGATCAATTTCTTTTCATTTTAATTTTGGTTATTTAAAGTAAATAACTAATGTAAAGTGTCTTACCAAAATCGGATAATGTTTCGTTCGTTCTGGTCCAATGCTATCCTTGTCTCCTTCCAAGCTGACGACATTTTAGTAAGTACAATACAGCCATTGAGTGCTAACATCGCTACGGACTATCGCATGGGGCAGTTCACGAACGCTCGCACTCACAAAACTCATACAAAACTTACATCGAACTCGCAGAAATCGGTCAAACTCGTATTAACTTCCAAAGAATCGCACCTTTTCAATTCTACAAAAAGATTCACGTCCGAGCACATGACAACTCCATAGTCGAAATATACTAAAGAAAACTCGAACAAATGCACATATAATTCGCAAAAACTCTGTGCAACTCACTACAACTCAGTGAATTCACAGATAACTTTCAAAACTCGATCTTGAAAATGTACGTGAATCGCACCTTGGACTATCGTATCATTTTGTATTGAAATTTCGTTAGTTCATGAGTTCACCGCAATTTTCGTCAAAACATGTCATCACTTCGTCTTCTTCTGGTATTATTATTTTTAGCCGCTTTTCGGAAGCAAGAGAGCTTGAGCTTTGACTCTTCTCTTCTATAATAATATGTCTTACCAATCCAATTTTACTCCAATAAAATCGAAAAAAAATCATCTTTAATACGAAAATGAGCTATATAAACCTGATAAATATATCCTGTGTTCCTTTTTTATTAGTTGGATTACATTTTTAGCATATATAAGTACTTTATATAGTACTACATGGAATGAAAAGTTTATGGCCTACTAAGGCTCAAATTTTGTCAGAATTCTAGTTAAGAATGGGGCTTTCTAAAAATAATAAGGATTTTTTGGTAATTTGTATGTTAGGCCATAGAATTTTCAGCCCATGTAGTACTATATAAAGTATATATGCTGAAAATGCAATCCAACTAATACTAAAATAGGAACACAAGATACATTTATCAGGTTTATATAGCTCATTTTCGTATTAAAAATGATTTCTTTTCGATTATTGGAGTAAAATTTGATTGGTAAGACATTTTCCGATTTTGGTAAAACACTTTCCCATATTGGACCGACAAAATCAATTCTTTCTTTAATTTTCATGTGTTGAACTCAGTTAATGTTTTTGTCTTTCTTTTTTCTTTTATTGCTGCAGAAAAAAGGTGATTGTAGTATAATGTAAACTCAACACCAAAAACAGACAAATCCTGATGCAATTGTTACTACCATGCCTCTTACGACGTGTACTTTGAATTAAAATATTGAGTATTTCAACATAAAACAATTTCAAGATCGAAATTTATTCAATCAAAACAAAAAAATGTGTTGCCATTGAGTGCATCTCAATTGAAATCCATCAATTTGAGGACAAAAAATAAATACAAAATACTGATTCATCAGCACAACGTTGTTGTTTTATTTTATTATCATATCATTACTCAATTTGTAGTTCGTGCATATAATGTTTGTATATAAATTTGAGATGCCTGGAACAGGTCTGAGATGTCTATCATGTTGATACATTCATTGGAATTTGAAAATAGTTGAGAAGCATTCTATATCTCTATGGAAAAAGTTACTAAGTACGGCTATGGTTTTGTATGCGGTTCGCTTATGTTTTTTTCGACGTATACGCCTTATTGAGTGAAGTAAAGTAAATATGATTCCGTATATTCTTGAATTAATCATCACTGAAGCCATTAAACAAAGCAACACAATCGTGGTACGTGAGCATGAATGCAAAGGTATTCGTCGTGTCGTTTTATCATTTATAAAGGGTGTTACAACAGGTACGCAAAAAGTTTTTCAATAGGGTATCCAAGATGGCTGACCGGAACGGCCAAACTGAAGTGACATTTGGAAGCCTCAGTCTATGACAAATTTTACCGTCGTGAAATCCAACTACGAAAATGGGTCTATTTTTCAATTTCAAAAAAATCAAAATAATCTTGCTTTTTACCTCTCAAAAACTAATTTTTCTCGTTTGGTTTATTCTTAAAAGTTTTTATCTTAACTTGAGCCGAAAATTCGCCTCAACAACAAGAGCAAAATTCCGGATCGTTTTTGAGATATAGCCAATGAGCCGTTTTTGGCCATCATCGCCGACTTTGGCCAATTTTGCAGAAATGGCGTTGACAATTATTGGGTTTTATACTCTCAAATGACAGCTGGGGGCACTGATTATATAGACAATTCCATTCTACGATGATATGTGCTTGAAAAATTGTCAAAAAAATAACTTAATCGAAATCGAGCTTCGAAAATGTCAGAAAATTTGGGCGCCAAATGCAGAGGTTGGAAACTCAATTCACAAATTACTCTAAATTGGACCATTGTTTTGGCTGTTCGGTGATAGATTAGTTAACCGCGAGTGCCGTAGCTGCGTTTCGAGATGTAAAGGGTGTTTTTTTATCCGCTTCCGTTCGCAGATTGGGCTTTAAACCGCCTCCAAACAGACCCTCATTTTTATCGCAAAATCATCATGAGGCACATTTCTGGCTAAACGGGTGGGTATGTTAATAAGCAAAATTGCCGTATTTGGAGCAGCGAACAACCAGGGGAGACCTTGGAGACTCCATGCACCGTAGCCACCGGCGGACATATGCCCGAAATTGCGCTGTTAGTTATGACATAAATGCTTTACGTATATCACATACAGCTAGTTTACATCATTGTTTATACGATCAAAATATCGAATTTTGTGTGTTTTATTCAAAAAAAAAACGGAAGTGGATAAAAAAACACCCTTTATAAGTCCAGATTTAATGCATTTTTATACCATTAATTGTGCCGTTTATGAAATTTTTTTGGTGAAATTTGGCCTCTAAAACAGGCCATTATTAAAATGCACCATACAGTCATTTGCATAATATTCCCTTTAAAACATTTTTGTAATGGACCGAACTACAACATATAATGAAGGTTTGAGCAATTCCCATCGAATTTGTGGATTTTATTCAACAATATCTTTTTGCATGCTTGTTGAAACACCCTTTATTCATATTCTAATTTACCGTACATGTAAGCGATGATTCTTCTGTGGTTATTTTTTAACTTTGAATCGACTTTGAAACGGAACGCGTTTTGTGAATTCCGTGAAGATGTGAACATTTCCATATTCATAGCCTCGCCGATTGAACACCATACGACTTTTCAAGAGTGTGAAATATTGGCTTGAATTTGCAATTCAATGCGATCCAATTGCGTTATTTGGCAAACCATGGGGGAAATGATGGGGCAATAAACGTTACCACCCGAGTGAACGCGATAGGCTTTGATGCATACACGCGACATGAACCATACAAACGAAGTTTCGTACAAGCAGCGCCCGTGTACTTCGTAGTGGAAAAAAAGGTGAAGTTTGCTGGTCACCAATATTGATGTTCACGGACATCAAATTGTTTATGCGTTATTTCGCCCACTTTATGCACTAAAAATATTAAATTCCTTGTTTGGTATCAAATTTCACATATGAATTCATCATAACATCAGGAAAACACAACTTTTTCTTAAAATAAAAAGCAAAAGCAAGATGATTTTTTCGTTGATGGTTGTTTGATCCTGGATCACTGTGATTCATTGATGATTTCTGATTTGCAACGCATCTATTTTTTGTCGATAGTCCAACTAAATACGATGACAAAATATATTTTTTTATTTTCTTGAGATGGAAATTGTGCGTGCTTTGATGATGAACAACATAAACGATAGCACAAACATTAATGTCTTAATAAATTAAGAAACAACCAGATGCATTCAATCCTGGGTCCAATTGTTTGTCGCCTTTAACAAATCACACTACATTCAAAGTTGATTGTCGAATATTTCTTTTCTTAATTTATAACTAAAAATCACAGTAAAGATTTTATTTTAAATAAGATCTCATTGCACAAATGTTTCAAATTCAAGTGTCACACAAATGCACGAAATTCTCGAAGAATGGCCGTAATAAGTGTTCTTTTTCTATTCAAACTCAATCAATTTCAAGAGATTATGAATAGAAAGAAAATAATCATCTCCGGCGTGATTAATTCAAAATAAAAACTCGATTTTTAACTAAATAGTGTAAACACAATGTAAGTTATGAAATTGTTCCACTTCACTGAAATGACAGTTGACTTCACACAAATTGCATTCAGCTGTGTTTGTCGCTGCCATGCTTTGATGAAAGCCTACATTCGTTCGATGAGGCTTTCATAATATTTTATGTACATTTTGAATACTGAACGCCTAGTCTTTCATTGCTATTCTTACTTCTTTCGTGCATTCGTAGCAATGATAGCCTGGGCGTTCAGTATTCAAAATTTACATAGAATATTATGAAAGCCTCATCGAACGAATGTAGGCTTTCATTAAAGCCTATCGCGTTCACTTGGGTATCTGATATTTTCGATACGATCCATTTGATGTGAAACGTAAAATTATTTACAATTCCACCAATTGACGTCATTTGTTCCATATTGTTCTCTGGAAACATCTGCGCTATTATAATTTGTGCATTTTAATCAGAATTGTCATTGCACGTGGATTAAATTATACCATTAATGTATGCAACACATTGAAGTGACTATACTTGAAAAGTATATAAACAGATGCGTTCGATCCGTATGTCCATCAAACAGTTCGTCAATTCTCTTCAATTGATACTTTCACAGTAAACTTTTGATAGTTTGAAGCTAGAAAAATGCTGAGTCGAAGATCTTTTCCACTGCTGATTTTTAGCTTGGTGGTATCCCAGGTGAACAATTTCAATCGTTTTTTTGTAATT